CTAGAGAACGACTGGCGACGTTGTTAGGGTTTGGGGGCATTTTGCTGCTTTCCACTGGACGACGGAAACAAAGCTCGTGCTTTTGCAATTTTACAGGAGTTAACAGGTCCTACGGAGGCAGCTTAACTACAGTAAAATTGCAAAAGCACGAGCTTTGTTTACACTGGACAAAAGTCTACAGGTTTTACCGAGGTGTGACGTGTAGTTTAAAAGGAACTATCAAAGGGAACTACCGAAAGTGCAGAATGCCCCTCCTAAGCCGAACAGCTCCGCCATTGACTGTGACTTCCGCAAATTGTTTTCTAGGTCAAATACACCATCGATATTGTCTACGTGGCCCTACTGTTCATTGGTTCTAATGCAAGCATTGTATGTGTGTATTGAGGAAAGAATGTTTTCAAAGGATAGGGGCACGACGGCTGGAGGCGGGCGGTTGCTGCTAACGTCATTGGTGGAAGGGCTAAATGAGGTGTGGCCAAGCGCTCTCTTGCAGTCCTTCCACCAGTGATGTTTTCAGCAACTGCCCACCCCACGTGCCTGCCTTCGAGAATTTCGCCTCTGTCACCTGCACAAATATGTCTTTCCCACAGAAGGGGTTTGTTGGCACCATTATTGCTTGTTGCAGGGTATATCGTAGGTTGGAGATCACCAGTGGGTGTCTATTTGGTCGCTAGAGGAGAGAGGTCGTATTTCATCTAAGAAAATTCTTTTAATTCCCTGTTTTTCTTGAGCTATTATTCTCATAGTTCAGAAAAAAATCCGTCTAAATCTACCAGTCGTGATCTTTGATCGGCGTCTATCCATGGACGTTTGGGAAGCGGTCATATTCAACAAAGTTCTCGTCGCCAGGGCGTGCTTTGATTGTCTGGAGGATAAAAACACTGATTCATTGGGCTCGATAAATACACTGGCATTATTAAGTTCAATAGAGGTGGTGAGGGTAGATCACGAAAATACCGTGGATTTTACATGAAAATGAAAGGTTGGTAGGGGAATCGTGTAAAAAATTGATCAGTATTGATATATATTTGATGGATTGGGATCGGGGGAAGTGGTGTAGACAAATAGTGCCACTTACCTTACTCATTGTTGATCAGTGTTCGGATGGGCACCCCTCCAGGCCAACCAGGCCATATCATAGTTGATATCGTCGCATGTCGACCGGCGATGTCAGTAAGCGTGAATGAGCCCGCCCACAGCGTTTTCTATGATCGCTTTTTTCTAACGGAACGCTTCCACTACTGGTAGAAAAGCGCAGTAGCAGGTGGGTTCATTCCTCCCCAACTGACACGGCCCGTCGGATTGCGCGATATCAACTGTATATACCTCCACAGCTAGGTAATTTCTGCTGGACTTGTCTAGGAGGCTAAAAAAGGGTCGTGCGTCAAGTAGTCCCAGCAAGTATGGATACGCCAAATCGCACTCAGCACATCACTGCGATTCTTGATTAAAGCTGAATGCGTAGCGCATCCCAAAAGGATTCCTCAATGCCCAAAGCGCCGGAGTCAGTGCGGCGTACCTCACAAAAATAAGAGAGTATATAAAAAAAGTTCTCTGTTGGATTATTGTGACGATGTTCCGACCATTTCAGATGCCGTTTTAATTTGCCACATTCCGAAAAGCTGGATGGCGACACGGAATGCCGTCTTTTCACCCCTTATGATCGCCGTCATGTAGTTGGCCGCCTGTACGTCTCTGCCCGCTTTGTCTGTTTTGGAAGTCGGGTAAGTATAGTTGATATCGTAGCGATCAGTCGGGGCAGTATCAGGAGGGTTGAAGAAAGCCCGCCACCAGCGATCAATCCACCAATAGTGACTGATTGGAGAGAAAACACCAGCGGTAGAACGTCGCGAAGGAGGCTCATTCCATGCCTCTTGACACCGCCCTGACTGATTGCAACGATATTAACATTGCCTTCAAAATAGATAATCGCGGTTTCTCTTTCTTGTTCAAATGACAAGTACATCCCATATCAAGGAGATGGAGTGGGCGTAGCTGTGCAGTTCAATCTGGCGTGATGTAGGATACGTTTTTCTGCGATTCTCATGTTTAAGACAACTGTCATCTTGTTTTATGATAGACCACAACATGATCACAGTTGTCCCAAAACGTCAATATCTTAGCGGAAGCCCAATCGCTGCCACGTTCAGATGACGTGCGCAGCCCCGCCCACTCCATCGCTGGGATATGGACCTTATCTACGAAGTTCCCATCGTTCCAGACCGAACGTCTTGTCTCCATAGTGATCCCTGTTGTTGAGATATCGACGGTTGAGGAATGTAGCGCGGCCTATGGTGAGAATCTGACGCGCGGCACTGGATTGCTGATTTGTTTACGGAATGGGGTGAGTGACGCAATATAATCTCTTGGGTTTCGTTTTGATTTTTTGATAAGTAAAGGCGGAATGAAAATTCTATAAATTTTAATAGGGGACCATCGTGTTCTCCTTTGTGCCCGATCGCGATAGAGTGCTTGCGAAGATCACGACGTTTGTGGAACGATTCCGGATCCAATGTACGCTGAAGAAACCATCTACAGCAAAGGTAGTTCTTGCCATTAAATACCCTTTTAATCAGCGTTCAGCTCAGGGGAAGGGGGATACACTTTCGCTAGTTTCTATCGCTAATTCTCTTCAAATCACAGGTTTCACCACATTCT